GCAGGCTTGGGCTCCCCAGACAGCCTCTTGGGATTAAGAAACCCCTTCTGCCATCTGATGCGCGCAGGGGCTTTACATACTACTAGAAGAAACCGTGGTGGTTCAGGCAACGTTGTACTCCAGGAAGTTCACGGCCACCGGAACCCATAAGCACAGCCACTCAGTCCAGAGTTCTCGCTCAAACGACCACTGTTAATTGAGCTACACACATGATCGGAACTGACGAAGCTCCAGGCATCCCCGCAGCGTTCAGCCATTGAAGTCACCTTTCGTAAACCTTGCTGTTTTCAGCCCTCTGGACGCAGAGGCAGCCACCCGTTTCATACTATTTTCAGTCCTAAACAGTGGTCTCTTGCCTCTCTCAGCACCGCCTTCAAGGGTTTTTAACTCAGCCTTGCTCCAGGCTTCTGCGGACACGCGAGGTGTGATGCAGGGAGCTGCCAGAACTTCACCCTTCGGAGGAGCTCTTGCAGCCGTGTTTCAGTACTCACTGCAGAGAGCAAATGCAGCCCGTTAACAGTCGCCACTGCGTGGGAAATGCTGCGGCCCAAGACACGTCCCCATTGGCAGCACAGACACGCTGCTCTCCTGCCTGCCAGCGGCAACGCGCTCTGCTCCTGCAGGAAGGGCCACAGCCTTCGGCTGAGTGGCTGCTTTGCTTGGCTGCCTGGGTTTGTTAAGCCAGGTGGGGCAAAAGATCAGCAAGTCCTTACTCGTTCATGAAAAAGCATGCCTGGAGGCCGTTTTCTCCTTCTTATGAAAATGAATTCCCTGCATCTCCTTCCTCATGTGTATGGATTTTAACAGGTAGCTTTCCTTCTCATAGTTTTCTTTCAGCCCTGATATTGCAGAGAACATTTTCAATATAAAAATAACGACTTGCTACCCAAACGCGTCTTTTCCCAAAACAAAACGCTGCTCTCTAGTGGAAGATGAGGATATGATCTCATTCCATTGGAAGGAATGTTTTAAAAATTTCGTTTTATCATCTACAGGAAACCTCGACTCATTTTCACAAGCACTGCCAGGCAAGAGGAGCAGGGCTGGTTCAGTTTATTTCAGTCTTTCAGACTGTCCTGGGAGATTTGGGTGTTTATTCCTCTGGATAAATTTGCTCTGCGTTTATCTCCACACTGTAATCACACCCAAATAACTTGCCAAGTATTGGCGCATTACAATATTAATGCACTTTCTAATTTGAGCCCTTTTAGCTTTTCTGTTCTTAGTATTAAAAACTCAAGCCAATTTTTCTTATGTTTTTTCCACATCTTTCGTTACCAACCAACTTTTCTAGGTCTGTATACACAGCTTTAGCCGAGCAGTTTGAAGATGCAGCATTCATCAGTTACATTCACAGACGAATTTAGGTAAATACGCAGATATGATAAAAATCTTTGTCCTGTTTGCTATGGCTTTTGAAAGACATCCCTATGTGCAAGCACAGCGATACAAAATTGAGGAATTACCTGTTGCAGCGGTTCCTTCCGCAACAAGTGGTCAGATGTTGAGGAGTACTTGTCCTGAAGGAACCAAATTTTACCCTGCTTGTAGTTAATTTGTGAAATACAGCATTTATTTTCCTTTTTTTTCTTTTTTTTAAAGCATAGATTAAGCAAAAAAAAAGGAAGAGCCCTCCATACTAAATTTCTTCAAGTCACGGACCAAAGCAGCACAGTTCCAGATTTCTTCTCAGCTTCCCACATTCACAACAGGAATAAGCACACGCTTCCGTTTTATCTCTCTGCAGAGAAGAGACACGTGTAAAGTAGTTTCCTGATAAACATATGAAGAAAGTACTTTTTTACCTTTTTTTTTTAATGTTCTTAGCTGTGTCTTGCCACCCGGAGCTGTGTCTCACAGCGAACACCTGACCCTCCCGCCACAGCCTCGGGAAGCAGAGCTTCAGAGCTTCTCCGTTCCGTCTCTTCACTGTCCTCTTCCACCTTCGCTTGGGCTTCTGCTCTGTTCTAGAAGTAATTATTCAGCTACTCCTATTGTAGACAGAAAGAAACGTGAAGACTGAAGGGGTTTTTGTCAACCACTACACAGAAAATCCAGAGCTGCTTATCTTGAGAATGCAACCAAACGACACATCTGCTCTGCCACTGCCTTGACATTAAGACAGAAAACTGTTCTCAAGCTTCAGCGCAAGTCACACAGTAAGTAGCATTTTCAGTAGACCTCACCAAGGAGGAAGAAAAAAAAGAATAATCAAGGATCAATTTGTGAGTAATGACTTACCGAGGAAAATTGCTAAGCCTGACAGTTAAGGAAAACTTCCTATTTGCTTTAAAACAGATGAAAAATACGGAGAAAATTAGAAATCAGGATATGGATATTTGTAACTAACTTGATGAATTTTGGGGCCAATTCTTGCTTAAACATGCGGCACCAGCAGCAGCAATACGCCTCGGGGCTCACACCCCAGATCGCCTGCCGCACCGCTGGCTGGGAGCTCGTACTGGAGAGCCTCAGCAGCCCTGCCATTCCCAGTTCAACGCTGGGGCTCTACAGCGGCCAGGCGACAACTCACAATTTGAAGGGCACCTGGCGATCAGATTTGAAGGGTAGTGCCTCATCATTCCCATCACCTAACCACTAGAGATTTTAGCACGAACTTCACAGGTGGTGTTACTGTAATTCTGTTTGTGTGCTGTAGTACACAGACGATTCTGAGACATCACAAACGAACCAGCGATGCTTTTCCAAGTAGAGACGTGTTGGCTATCCGGGATGCTCTGTTCTAGGGCTTCTACTGATATCTAGGCATTTTTCAGAAAGAATTTCTTGACAATTTAAATGAAAATGTAAATTTTAGGAAATATCCCAAAGTTCTATTTCTTTGGCCACCAAAACTGACCCTCAAAAAAAGCTGCTTACGAGTGAAATCCAACAGCTCACGCTTTTACTGACTGTACAGAAAGCCCAAAACGTAATTACTAATTTGGAGTTCTTGTAAACAGTCTGGTTTTGGCTGAAATAGTTACGAAGTACATAGCCTGCTCAGAGGGCAAGATGTGTTTATATTTACCGTAAGCAAGACAGGCTTTATATCACACATTCACTTAGGTTGTAAATACCCAAGATTTAAGCTCAGGAATTCTCAACTGTCCTAATAACTAAGCAAATGAGGGAGAGGGAGGTTAGGTCATCCATAAATTAATCACGCACAAATATAATGCATCAATAAATAAACACAAGGTTTACATTTTCCTTTATCTCTGCCTCTTTTTATTGTCATATTAAAGACAATGGTAACAAAAGTAATTTACTGAATAGCTTTAGCACACATAAGAAAGTAAACCCACCATTTAAATAGCTGCATTTATTTACAAAAAAAAAAAAGGAAAGAAAAAAAGAGGTGGTTACTCTTTCCAATACAAACCCCATCCATTTACACCCTCAAAAGAAATTTATTCACTTCCAGTAGAATCTCCCATGATAAAACGAAGTATTCATCCACAGGAAAGGTTTCTGGGCTTTCTCTCCATCTGGCCCCCACCTGTCTTATACTTACATCTTTAAGAAGAAACAGAGACTTCTATACAGACAAATCGTAAGTGGCAATCTCACTGAGCTCACAAAGAAAATTTTAATTTAATCTGACGTTTCTGTTGTTAAAAGGGAGATAGCAAAATACATACGGCTTTTAGAGCAGATACTAAATGCAGTACATTCTCAGTCGTTACCCTGCCAAAACCTAGGCAGAAGTGCATCAAAGTACCACATCGAAAATATAAAATAGTTTCAGAACAGCTATGCTGAATTTCACATCAGGTCTTCTCTCCACGGAGGATGATTTAAAAAAAAATGAACACAGTGGCACCTTACGACTTCACCCAACAGATTTACATTCTCGGAATGCAGCCTTATGCTTTCCTTTGGGTTGCTATGTGAAGACAAACTGCAGCACAAATCCATCCGTTTTCAAAAGCTAGATCGTTCAGCAGCCTGCTTGTACTTCAGGAGTGCACAACTTCAGCTCTTCTCTATCTTGTTTCTCTCCAGCCTTGACCCATGTCACAAGCACACTGAACATTCTAACACTGCGGACAAGAAAACACGAAGATACGTTCCCTCCAGAGCACCAGAGTAAACTTAAACATACTACACTGAAATAATTTAAAACCCAGGTTCATTCTAAAAACTGCTCTAGTGGCCTAAATTATTTCCAATTATTTCATGGTAATGCACGAAAGCAGCCTCCCTTTCTATTTCTACTTTATACATCAAACTAAACCAAGGTTGTTCAGATGATCCTGCTCAATTATGAAGCTTTCCCAAAATGAAGACTGCTGTAAATGACAGATTCCAGCAGTTTAACAACTGCTATAATTTGAAAACCTATTTATAATTTGTAACGTTCTTCTAACAGTCTTCTCAATATTCAGCAGCAGCTTTACCATCCGCAGCTTCCTGCAGGTACGTCCCAAAGCAGAATCCTGGGGAGGAAAACCATTTACCAGTTAATAACTTGGGATAAAAGACAAACAATTAAAAAGCCACGAGCAAATATTTCGAACACTTTCAACAGCACTCCTGAGGGTTAACTCAGTATGAATCAATCAGAGACTCGGTTCCAGCTCTCTGCAGTCTCTCTTCTCAACAGCCATAGACTGACCCCCACAGCCCCCACTGAAAGGCCATCTCCAAGTGCACCCCGCGCCAGCTCACAGAGCTCTCCTGCAGGTTTGTTTTAATCAAATCTGAATACACGTGCCTAATGCTGAGTTAATAACAACTTCCACCCATTAACATTAAAACAAAGATCTAATTCTAGCACATGAAAAAGAAAATTTTATCAGCCGAAATCCACTTTAAATTCATTTCCACTCTCTGGTGCAGAGAATCCTCTCCTGCTTACAACCGGTGGTAAAGAATCGGGCAGTTCTTTTGAGAGTATTTCACTGAACAATTCACAGTTACTGAGACACACAGAACTGACAACACACATTTCTTAACTTAAATTGATACTTCCTTGCTATTTTTTGGTTTGCTGTCTTGTATAATGTCCAAGTGCTACGTAACAATGGGAATATGAAATTCATTATTATCAAATATCAGAGGCCTCCTAGGAGGGGCTGATTCTTTGTCTGCTTTGTGTAACAGTTTAAAAAGTCCCGTTCCAATATTCATCGGGATTCCCATGATGATGCACTCAGAAACACCTAGGAAAAAAAAAAAAACACGTTAAACATCTGAAGAGTAAGGGTTTACAAAACTATTTTCATTTGCCCATTCTGCATGTGTTGCCTACCAAATCTCCTCAAGCCCCACACGTAAGGACCCAAGGTCTCTTCACTAGATACACTCAAATGTTACGGTCATCCCATCAGCGTTTTATTTAAACTGTGTTATTTAAATTCTACACACAAAAAGTTCAACCTAACCTAAACATCTCCTCTAGGAATGAAAGAGCTTCAGAAGGTTTGTTTCTGGAGAAGACACATTCCTCTCAGCGCTGACAGCAGAAGCTGCAAGGCAAAGCTACTTTGCGTTCATTCTCTGCCCCAGTGCTAAGACTTCAGTCCAACTTGGCCGAGCTCCTTGAGGCTCCTGCGACTTCCCGGCGAAGGAGGCACACTGCTCCTCCAGCTTCCTTGCATTTTCATCATTCAGAAAGTGCTTGTTTTCAATTTAACCATCTAGTCTGTCCCAACTATTTGGATAGCTGTAAGATTTTCACAGCAACGTGCTGACACATTTCTATTCCAGATCTACTGACATATACAACTGTTCCAAAGTACATTTGACATTAACAGCAACCTATCAGATAACAATTGTTTTTTTTTCTCCCAGCATACTGTTATGACCCAAATGACACTTTTGCACATTCTCAGGAGTGTAAGAATATTGTCCTTCACACAAACGTTTAAGAAAATAACAATAAATAGCTGTACCTTTGAATGCACGAAGGACAAAGATCGATTTACTTAAAATTCTGGCAAGATTTGATCAGTAATTTAAATGTATATGACTGAAGAGTCTGTAATTGTGCTCTTAGATCACTGCTGCATTTCTACTACATATTTTCCAACAGTACACACTTAAAAATCCTGTGCCAAACAGCATCCTTAGGAGTCACTGTATATTTAGGCCCACTCCTTTGCACAGCCCCTGCAGCATGCAGGTTACAATGGATGAAGGAAATACCTTCCTAATCCCTAGCAGAATAAAACTTAGCGGGCTTTGCACAACCACCTCTCAACCTCAGCCAATCACTGAACCATGGAAACTGCGTTTAGATTTCGGGAATCCTTCTTCCCTTGCGCTGCCTCCATGTACACCACCAGCAGCCTTCCTCCCCACCTCCCTTCCTCCTCGGGGACTGCCTGCAGCACCCGACAGCAGTCGTGTACGGCAGGAAATGTGTGGACAGAAGACATTGCTGTACCAGCCATGTGTGTGTTACATCTGCTCAGGCTAACGTACACCAGAGGCCAGCGACAGTCATATCAGAGAGGTGAAGATAATGATGTTGTTGATGGCAGAAGAACAGCCAGGACAGCATCTTCTGCTCTAACGACCATCCAAGCCTCCTCCAGCGCAACGTCTGGTTATCACCTGCTGCAGATCTAAGCATCTGGCCGGCAGCTATGACCGGCTGCTCTCACTTCCAGCTGGAAGAAGCTGTGTAGAGACGAAGCCAGTAATACTGCTCGTACTGCAGAGTTTATTTTTGACACTTCCCTTCATAAATTAACATCACAGCAGCGATCTGTAGCTCTCAGTTCCCACTCTTAGTCTAGAAAATAGTGTTGTTGGCTATTCTTTGGTAAGAAGACAGCAAGATAAACTGACTACACCTCTCAGCAGCAGCACACCCCGCTGATCCTGCTTCCAGCATCCAGCGGATGCTGCTGGAACCAGAGGTACTCCTCTGCTGTAGTTTCAACCCACTCTGCCCTCTGAAAGGCGGCAGCAGCAATTCCCAAAAGAAAATGTTTGTCATTGTGCAGATAAAGCAGGAATCCTCTGTTCCCCATTTTCTGAGGGGAAAGCATCTTACAAGACAAAAGGGATTCAAAGGCCACACGGTCTAAAACGAGACCCACACGTTCAGGAGAAGCACCAATGTGAGATGCCATCCCTTTCAGCACCTATAGTCGATTTTGGGTATGTACTCATTTTTCTGGGCAGTGTTGGTAATTTTTTCCTGCTCTGGAGATGCAAACCCAGGAGAGTGTAAGAGTCTTGTCACAGCAATTCAAAGAGATAACTAGTGATGGCCACGTCAGGCAGCTGCACGGCACTTTTTCATGCAAGCAAGCCAGCATCACCGCTTCAGTTTTGTAAGACAGACAACGATTTTCTGTTTTGTCCATTCCATTTCCTTATCTGAACCAAAACATTTATATAGAAGGCAACATGAAAAGATCTTTGGTTTCCACATCATTCAAACCACAATCTTACCAGCTCAGAGGGGGCAATGAGAAAGCATTTTCTTTTCCTCATTGCCCAGGATGGAATCAGTCTCCCATAGGATCTTTGCTTTAATCATGGGCAAGTAATAATTAAAAAAAAATAAAAATAAAAAAAAGAAAATCCCACTCATGGGGAATGCTGTGCAGCCAAAAAGTGGCAGCGTTCTTAAAATATGAACTGGTAATATAAAGGTTTCTAACAGATTCCAGCGATTCAGAAAACGTATTGTCTACAAATCACTGTTTGAAATTGGCTACGCTAAGCCCACCTAGAAATACACGCCAACTAATAAACCTGAACATAATACATTCATATTTTCAGACTTCATTAGCACCCACAAACTCCAGATGGGTGGTTACAGCTCCAGGATGGCAGGCCTTACATAAACAGACGCTGAAGATGGTGAAACCTGCTCGACTTCTCCTTTTCTCTGTTTAACCTGCTAGATAGAGACTTTTTAACACATCATTCCAAAATGTATTGTAGCTGCCAACTGCCAGGCTAAACTACGTCCGTAGGTTAAAGGAGAATGACGTCTGGGATGAATGGTGGCAAAGGAGTTAAAAAAAAAAAAATAATTTCCATTCCAAATACGAGAGTACGTGGCAGAAATGCAAAATTAAGAGACAAAACAGTGACAAAACTAATCTATCTGAATTTTCTGTTTGGCTGTATGTACGTGTGCACGCATGCACTTGTGTGCATGTGTGTATATATATATATGTATACATACTCCTAAATTTTTATCAGATTCTTTGATGAATTCAGTAAGAATATGATTCAGTGGATGTTAATGAACTTAAAACTGACAAACAGATACATTTAAAAATAAATTTCTCAGGGCAGGGATCTTCTCTGTTCTGTTAATGAATGGAGTACCGATGAACACGGCTTCTAATTTGAAAAAAAAAAACCCAAACAAACCCACAATTTTTCTCTATTTACATCAGAACTAATTGAAGAAGTCAAGTACCTTGCCTTTCTGTTTCTTTCTAGGTACAACTGACAAATCACATAAGCAATCATTATGCACAGTACGATATTCACCAATGCTCCCCAACACATATGTATCTTCCTACTCCTCAGTAGGAATGAAAATGAGTATTTCACTGAGCTATGTGATGAGAAGTAAAAGCAAATTACTGAAAGGCTGCTTTAAGAAACATCCAACAGATGTCCAACGGACTGCAAGATCTGTGACTGAGATCAGAAGTCAACAAACATCCACCAAACTTCCAGGATCAAGAAGTACGGATCAGCCTCAGACCGGAAGTTTTTGACACGTAGGCTAGAATCACAGAATGCTTTGGGTTGGAAGGTACCTTTAGAGGTCATCTAGTCCAACCCCTGCAGTGAGCAGGGACACCTTCAACTGCATCAGGTTGCTCAGAGCCCCGTCCAACCTGGCCTTGAATGTTTCCAGGGATGGGGCCTCCACTGCCTCTCTGGGCAATTTGTTCCAGTGTTTCACCACCCTTATCGTAAAAAATTTCTTCCTTATATCTAGGTTGAACAGAAAGCTTAACAAGGGCAGAAATCCAATGCTTTGAAGAGGTTTACAGATGCTGGGTAGGGACCACAAACTGCAACAGAATTTGCAATACCTACCACAAACAGAATCCTTCTGTCCAAAGTAGGCAGCATCAAAGAGATGGTCAGCAGTCTTTTCAAAAGAAGCCAGCATTAACACACTTTCCTTCATTTTTGCCAGTCCAAACCTAGTAATGCCCAGCACTTCACCCTTGATTGATGGAAAAACCCAAAAGAAAGACTATCAGAATTGTGGCTGGAGGTCAGTTACATTTGCTAAAGAAGCAAATCAAGTGAACCACAGAAACGTAGTTCTTATTCTAGCACACACATGGAACAAGTAATAAGTAAAAAGGTTACTATCTACAATATGGCATTGTCATAATATGCTGCTTCACACTTCAGCAACTGAAGGTTAATAGCTTGGTAGTAATCAAACCTTAAATAAACCAGAAGTGATTATTCATATGCAACAGAAGCTGTTACAAACGGTTAATAGTTGTGGGGTTTTGTTTTTGTTTTTTTCTAAACAAGAACATTGGAAAGATTGAAAGAAACACAGCCATGAGAAAAAAAAAATAAAGTATCACAACTATAAACTAGCTGCAGAGCTACAAACTTTAGTGGGGTCTGAGCACACTATACTGAACCTACTGCCTATTGTCTACCAATAAATCTCACTTCAGCTGCCAGGAGATGACAGAAGATGTTAAATCTTCCTATTTTCACTCTCCAGAAAAAATGTAATTAGCTTTTCAAACTAACTTTGTTCATTTCTGCCTCGGTTTCTAACAAACATCCTGATTATAACAGACTGTGCACAGAAGCACAAGTCAGAAGTACAGACAAAAGAACGCACGCTAGGAGCCCAGCAAGCGCGGATCGGGGCCCTCCGATGCCCTTTTCCACTGTTGTGCTGCAGCTCCATGCAGCCAGCCCTGGGGACTGCGGCGGCGCAGTACAACAAAGCCCTACAGTTCTGGGAGAAGTCAGAACTCCTTCAGCCATTTTACCCAAATTAAACCCTTGCACTCTGGCAAGCAAAGCGGAAAATCTTACTTCACTAAGTGCACTCAAATCTAAAAAACGCATTGGATGTGAAGGAAAGAAAGTCAATCAATAAAGAACAGATACAATTTTCCACTTGCAAGTTCTGGAAGACTGTTCATACTCCACATGTAATCTGATTCTGTCTGCAACGTCTGTATCCTTTGACTTTTATATACAGTGCAGCTGCTATGAACCACACCCCGTGTGGTTTTCTGCACAGCAAGCCTTAAATTGCATGCATGGTTACCCAAACAGTTTTTAAGTTTCCTATTTCCAATACGGAATTATGACTCCCTACTCATTTTATCAACTGGTTTTCAGCCAAAATAGACCTCCTCCCCACCCCAGTCCCAATAACTAGACTAATTAAGCATTTCATTTGATACACAATCAGCAGCATCTGACCAGTATAACTTCCAATTCTTTAAACCTATAATTGATCTCCATGTCCCTAGCTCACCCATTCTTCTCAAACATGGTAAAATTAATTGGTATAAACAGGCCAATGCAACATTTAGAAAAAGCATAGTACCAACCTTGTAAGTCATTAGATCAGACAGCAACATCACATGTCTCCTGTCAATGCTCATCCCATGGTTCACCATTGTATACTGAATCTCATTGATAATGGTCGTCCGAGCAGCTTCAATTCCTAGTGTCTTCTCTACCTACAAGAGATTATGTTAGATTAATGAAGAACGAAACGCTTGCAGCAAGTACATTCCTGGAACAAATACCATCTAGTGTCAGATAATACTCCATTTCCATTACTATCCTTTCGCATTTCTGTGTTTTAAAAATATTTATACAAAAAGCTTCTTTGAAGTGAACAATGCTGCCAGTCAAATTATTCTCTTGCGCTAATACATTCTGACAACTACTACCAAAACCAGGCTTGAATAGCTATCAACTGCTGCATCTGAGCACAAACAAACGCTTGTCATAAACACGCTACGGGGAAAAACCCACCGTGCCCATTCGAACCTTACCTCGTAAGTGTTGTTAGAGGACGTTTTTGTTCCTTTCACTCCATGAGTAGCCATAACAGCTCGCAGATTATCACCTTCAACTAGAAGTTTATATTTCTCCTTTCCACTTTGTTCATCAATATGAATGACAGCTCGAGAAACCTCTGGTATACCTTGCACTACCACCTGCACAAAACAAACCCAGTAACTTCGTGTACAATAATGCATACAAGTATAAAAGGGTAACCCTTATTAGCATTCAAACCTATTAAGAAGCTCCAGTCTTTAGAGTAAATGCTCAGTTAAAATACATATGAAATGAGATTTCCTGTTCTTAAATACACTAGTGCAAATGTGACGTTCACACTGTACCAAAAACCTCACTCACTACCTACGTTTCACAATTTACATCAGATATCCCCACACGCAGACCTGGGTCTCTGAATGGCGGTAGATCCACACAAACGAAAGGGCATCCTGCCAATAACAAGGTTCACTTATCACTGTTTTTCAAATCCAAAGTAGACAGCCTCCTCACAGAAAGCTGCAAAAATGCCAAATGCTGTCATGTGGTTCAACTCTAGACGCAGCTGGAAGAAGATGTAACTATTTCATACAACTGCTCCACTTGGAATGCTTCAGTAAATGTTATAACTAAAGGATCGAGGCTTCAATTTTATTTATAAAGATCAGTAACAAAGGCTTAGTTTCAGATGTAAAGCAGCGGCATCGCAACCTAAGCATTACAGACTCAGCCTATCTTCATCGTCAATAGTGACAAGCATTATTTATCTGCCCACCACAGAACCCCAAATTATTATTACTGATTACCTCCCACAAAGGCATGAGACAGCCTTTGTTTTTACCTTTGGCAGTTCTTCCTTCAGGGACTGCAATACATAATACATGGAACTCTTGCTATTTTCACGAGGGGTCACGCATACAACCGCTTCTCCGTGGACAGCAACATCCCCAGGCTTTACTCTGAGTTTCGATATGCAAATCGAGTAGCGCACAGTCTCCGCATTCACCTGTGGCAAAAGTCAGCCAGCAAACATTAGGGTATCTCTCTTAACATATATAAATCTGCTCAAATGCATGCAGCAGTCTTTTAACAGAATATAAAAAAGCAGAGGTAGAAAACTAAATAAAAATTTGTACTCTTCTAAATTGTGTGAAATACCATTCTATGCTGAGGGGACCAGGCCTATATGTGACAGAAATGGCATCCTTGTATTTAGCAAGACAACAAGAAATGAGCGTATGTTCTCTCATGTCCAAATAAAGGAAAAATTATCCAATTTACAAGGAAAAAAAAAAAATCCAGATGAAGTGTAGCCACAGGACATCCTTCGTTCATTTTATTTTTTTAACTTCCACTGGTCTGATTTCTGTTTCTGAGACAGAATTAAGAGACCCTTTGGAACGTACCCAAGGCATATTCTGCCTAAAAACTGAACAACTCACCTCTAGTCTCAGTAGCCTAATGCGCTCTAAGGACAGCTTCACTAGGATGAAACAATCATCTGGAAGAAACACTTCCTCAATATATTCTGAAATCTTGAAGAGGTAAGGATGAAATAGTTAGCACGTGAAAGTGGTTAAAATGCCCTGCTGACATTTAAAGAATTAGCAATAATACAATTTTTCCTACCTCTCCTAATAAAGTTTTCTCGATTCTTCCTTTAACCAGACGGGCAAAATCAGGATCGTCATCTTTGTCCAACTGTGCTGTTATAATAGGGGTGCTACAAAGAATAAACACACAAAAATCCCCAGCTGTTAGGAAACTGCTCAGCCAGATTACAGACGGCAATCTGAATTACAGCTTGCCTTACGGAACCCCTTTGGCTTCCTCAGGTGCATTTAAGAAAATCATTGTTCATGTACTTCAGGCTAGTAAAAACAAGCTAACAGACAAGAGATCGTAACACAAGAGCTAGTGACTATTTTTATGGCGTACACTATTTTGGTATTATTTAGGTATGGCTTCATGGATACCCAGAAATCGGTGTGCATGAACTGCCACTAAACATCAACAAGTTTCACAATGTATGAGACACCTAACGGAATATTAAGCTCAGTAAGTAACCACTTTACCCCATTTGATTTTCAGAAAAATACAGCTTGGCTCTTCTCTGGCCCTAAGTACCAGTTAGTTGGACAGACAGTAGATGTCTCCTGTCTGTGTAGTCCATGCATTCAGCATTGTCTAGCATATTACTGAGAACAGGGAAATGCTATCGCTTATTGCAAATCTATAAAAAAAAAACCCCCACCCCAAACCAAAACAGCATTAGTACCTAATAGCCTTTGAAGCATTAATGATTTCTTTGATTCTCGGCACGCCCAAAGTAATGTTCATTGAAGCAACGCCAGCAAAATGGAAAGTCTTCAGAGTCATCTGAGTGCCAGGCTCACCAATACTCTGTGCGCAAAGAGCTCCTACTGCAGAACCAGGCTCCATCTGTGCCCTGATAAAGAAATTCTCTCATAAAAAATACAGAAAGAGACATAGAACTCAATAAGGTAAAAAACCCTAAGCAAGCAAAGACAGAATCTATTCTGGGAGCTAGACAAGAAGGTTGTTGCTTTTTTTTTTTTTAAATAATAAATGAACAGGAGAGAGGTTAAAAGGTCACCAACACTCAAGACTGATCTCATGCAAGGCAAGAAGATGCCCTGTCACACAGGCATTCTACAGATGCAGTATAAGACCCATAACAGAAAACCAAAGGTCTGTCCTCCTCCTCAGCATCACGCAGTAGATTCAGGATTCCCCATTCAAGGAAATTCCGTATGCTAACATTTCCAAAACTCCCCTTTATACGTTTAAGCACAAGAGACCTTTATTAAGTCTTCTTTAAACAATTATGCAGATCACTTTTTAATCAGAGCAAAATCCAGGTATTACTTACTCAAAAGCCCTGTACTGACGACCTACTTTCCCTTCAAGTTATACATGTAATGGGCTCACTCCCACGTTTGTCTCTTTCTAAAATCTATGTACTTTGAGAACTGGCTGTCCTCACAGGAGGAAAAATGAAGGCCAACACACTCCACTGTGTGATCTCAAAATGACACCTGAGGGGTGGTTTACATTCTCCCCTGCAATTTTGTTCAGATCCTGCAGCTAGCATTCTTAAGTTTGCACAGAGTGCAAATGTGATCTGCTTTTCTACAGCAAACATCACCTCTGAACTTCAGGCACAATACCACTTCCTAACTCAATCTGACTTGTAGCAGCTTCTTGCATTTTCCTTGATGAACTCTTACCACGTACAACTGCTGTCTAATAGTGATTTAGCCTGTAACATCTACACAAAATAATTCTGGGTGACTGTAAAACAAAATTATTTGAGGTTATTGTTTTCACTGTAATTTGGAGATCTCTTTACATTCATGTCATATCTACTAAAACTTGCTGTAATCTCAGCTGAGAGATTTCTCCTGCTAAAATGCAATAGTCTATAAAACAAAAATAATAATCACAGCAATTAGATCCTTTCCAAAGGTACCATCTTTCAGTTGTCAGATCAGCACAATACAGTATGCTAAAAAGACTTACTATAGTAAAGTAGGCAATTCATGTTTAAGAGCACTTAAATCAAATATAAGTAAGTAATCCTAATAACTGAGAGTAGAAAACCGGTAATTGTTTTAAAATAGTTGAAATAGTTCTTTTGGCATTCTACCTTTGTCTTACAATGTTAATGTCATTGAGGCCAACTGTTTCTTACTCTTTATTTGTACTGCATTCGCAACAGAACCAACATTCATACAGTAAAATTAGCAGAAATACACTCCTAAATTGCAAACCAAGCAACAAACACTAAACTGGGGGGTGAACAAACTGAGAAAATGACAGGCTAAACACTTACCTCATGTATTTGTCCCTGCAAGTCTCTAGAAACTTCTCGAGTTGTGTTGGAGTAATCCTATCCAACTGGTATAAAACTCGTGGCTAAAAAGAGAACAGAACAGTCGGAAAAACAAAAACTTATGAAGACTGAAAATAATTACATAATCACTCCTTTGAAACTATTTACCTCTGTTGTGCCATTGTCATTAATGCCATACTTGTCCCTAGTTTTTTTTATCTTCTCAGAAACACCTTTGATGAATTTTTTAATTTCCTGAAATTACATTAAAACAACAGTAAGCAAACACATGGTGTTCATATTGCAGTCTTCAGCAGTAAGTTATTTGCTTAGAGCTCCAAATGGAATGTTTACAATAATAAATTAACAATGCACCACATGAAGAGAGGAACATCGAAACTTAAGACACACACATACATTACAATTTAGCAAACCAGATCCACTCTTCTGTCACCACAAATTAGTAGCAGTACATGAGGAATATGGTCCACGCTGAGTTAAAAGCATCCTTCCTGAGCACACACTGAAAACTTACAGAGATTGGAGTTTGGTTGATCCTTCCTTCCTACCCACCACTTACTGAAACTGATTTCTATTATTAAAAAAACCAATACAAAACAAACAAAAAAACCCCTCAAAATTCTTATTTTTTGAGTATACCGACACAAACACATTGTCACTCATTTCATTTCTCAGTATTCAAAATTAGTCAAAGCAGAAAGACTGTGGCAAGAGAGGCAGTATATAAAGGACACCTGCTGGATAGATTTCAGAGATTCCAGATGTACTTTATATGGGGGGAAAAAACCTCAAAACTGATACATACATGTCAGTCTCTACCTAACATAGTTGAAATAACTTCTCTATGCTGTGCAGACGTCTTTTCCAGCCTATGATTCTATGTAGTAATACCTAATCCTTTCACACTCTTGCCAGGTTTACCCAAAAGTAGTTCTAGCAGTCTTTACTGGAACATAAATTGAAATAATACTGTTAGAAAAATATCCAAAATTTCTATGAAATATCATTTGGGCATTTGGATATAGACATGTACACTAGAAGTCATTAAATATGAGGTCCATGATTAAACTCTTCCATAAACATAGACTCAGTGCGAGTCATTACCATAACACAGGGTTATCAAAAACAAAATATAAACAAAAAGCAAGAGGAAATCCTTCCCCCGTCTACTTCAACAATGATCTAAGAAAGCCTCCGTGGAGAAGTGAACAGTTTGATTTTTAGAGTTCTTTTAAACCCTCCCCCTGCCACTAGTCCTGCCTGACAACCAGCATGATGATTGTATAATATCAGCTCTTCTTCACCAGTACTGGACTTCTTCCAACCACTGGACAGACACTGAAAATATATGAGTGATTGTTTTTTTTTTTACAAATTTATTAATAAATCATTATCAAAACGCTTCCACTGCATTATAACAGAATCCTCAGATTCTCAAAATAACAACATTTTTACCGGTATTCAAGGTACTTTCAGACAGTACGCTATTTTCTGCGATTGCTAGAATAAAGTTCAAATGGAAGAACCGACAACAGAAGTGTGCTGCTAGAATGGATGCTTCAAGGGTTTCCCCACTTGGATGACAACAGGATGCATTCATACATTTCTGCCCCTTTTGCCCTGCAGTAAGCCATATTGATTCACGAATGAAATATTTTGCCATTTCAAAGGTTTTTGACCCTGAAATCTCTGCATAAAATCGATAATTTATTTCCTAAAATAAGTGTTCTGTAATAATAGGGCATTAGAAAAATTAATTTTTTGACTACGAATGCATAAAAAAGGAGTATTGCAGGACTTGTGGAAGATCACCCAGAATGTTTGATCAAAAGAAATAAAACAACATTAAGGAAAGACTTTAAAAGTAATTATGTCTTGTAAGATGCTTCTTTTGTGGAGGGACAGGAAGGGAGGAGTGGAAGGAGAAGAAGGCAGAAGGTGTAACACTAACTTCTCCCTCTAGAACACTGAAGATGAAGTTCTTTTAAATTTTCACCTACTCCCCTGAAACCCGGGGACAGTAATAACCACCACCCCACCGCCAACTCCTCAAAAGCAGTTGTCATTCTGGCTGAAGAGTTAGTCTTGTGGTCATACGGAGAAAGTCCACAACAGGGCAGACCTAAGACCAAAACAGCCTAGCAACTGCAAACAGTGTTATGGCAAACTATTTATTGTCAACTTTTCCTCTTTGACAGTCCTTGAATACCAAAATACTTTTCTTAAAGTATTTATTCTTAAAGTATTCAGACATACTAAATGAATTGTTATGCATCGTTCTGAACTGTAAAAATGAGGTACTCGAATGAAACATTATTTCCATGCACCAGAGACAAAAAATAAGGGTGAGAAATAAAAGATAAATCTCCAAAGAGATCTATTTTCCATTGTCAAAAGTTTTATTTACGTACAAGAACTAGAAGAGGAAACAACCTATTGCTCTCAATTTTCAATTATCTATTGGTAGTTTATCCAAACCATGGATTAATTTATGCTACAGAAAGAAAGCGTAGCTCCCTTTACGCTAAGCCTGTCTCTGTGGAGTTATCACCTTCAGTGCAGCCCTGTCCTCTGAGCACGGCTACGTAACTTCCAGAGGGACCTCAAGAAACCACTGGTTCTTTTACACAGTCTAAACTTTAAAGTCTTTTAGTCTGGACCTGTTTAACAAAAAGGCAGCAAACTGACTCAGCTCTGGCTCAGCGTGGGCCTTGTCAGCTCGTACAGAGCTGATGTGCAGTCAAAACCGCAGTCCAGGACACAAAGCCCAGTCACTCGGGTGTCTGTGTCACGATTCCCAGCACTGGAGCTAGTGGGATCATTTCTACACCTGAAGGACTGCTAAGGTAAGAACCCTCACAGTTAAGAAGCCCACCGAAACATGGAGAGGTACAGACAATCCCACATGATTCAGCAACAACCCATGCGAGTGCAGGCAGACCCATCAGGTCAGCTCCACATGCGCCAGCACCAACCGGCTGTGTGCTGAGCCTCTTCCATGTTTGCACCGCACTCCCCAGCACCCATATTCTAGCACCTCCAAAAAAACCACAGAAAAATGACTGGTTTTTTCTTTAATTGTGAGGGTTTCTAAAGATCTTCCCAATTTCGGTCATAAGAAAACAAAAATTTCCCTTCACCTGTATCTTAATATACTCAAATATGTTTAAATATTAACACAACTGAAACCGTGCCAGCCCAAAATCTGCTCTTCCACCAGCTCAGTTCCCTCCAGTGAGGGCAGAGTGCAGGCAGAATGAACGCCGGTCGGTTTGAAAAAAGGCTGTTTAGCCATACTGTTTTGTGGACAAGAGTGGATAACCCCATTATAAGAACCTCCTGGTAAAACAACAGCGAGAAGTACTATCTCTGTTCTGGAAAGGAAAAATGGAGGAAGGGATAGGAAAACAACAGAAAAACAAGCTAATATCCCCAAAGGTTGAAAGAATGAGTTGTAGAAAGAAAGTCATGTACTAAAAGAAAGCTTTCTCACATCCTCAAAATTCTCGTATTTAACTATGGGTATTAATTCATATGTCATGGTTTTCACCATTAAACAGGAATTGGGTAAATTATCATGAGGAACATCTACATTAAAATTTAACAAGCAGTAATGTATATATGCTAATCAGTTACTTTAGCACTATACACACATCTTCAGCTAGAAAGCACTAACATTAATGCTCACACAGTGCACACACATGCTACAATTACCTCATTATATTTTTCATAACCTGTCTCAGTTAATGTCTTCAAGGATGAACAGAAAAAAAAAGGAAAGAAGAAATGTAACAGTATCTAAAACTTAAAAATATGAAGTTAAACTAATTACCATTAAGATGATGTAGCCATATCTGTGCTTCTGAAATTAACAGCAATTATTTAGATTTCCCTGATACAATTAAGAAAAATGTACACTTCATCTCCAAATTTTGATATTAGCATGTTGTATATTATTTTCCTTCAGAGATGCAGTTAAGACTCACAGAATATTTCAACCGTGGATATAATCACTTTTTCAACTCTGCTCTAGCAACAGAATTGCAATTCAGATTCATAAAAAACTGCTTACTAGTGTTGTCACCTTCTGCTCTGAAGCACTCTTATGTATTAAAAAGAAACCCTCCAAAAGCAGGTCACTAAATTCATGTTGTTCTCATCGCTGCCAGTAATCAGAAGGCTCATCAAGATAACAGCTTTGTGGGTCCACAGGCAGCTTAATTCTACAGTTTTTATCGCTGTTTCCCAAAGTAGTCTTAAGTGTGGCTGCTCTCATAAACATTAAAATTGCTTAATAGTCTTTCAAATAAATTGACTTTTACAATTCAAAGTCATGTGAACATTCACTCATCCTTAAAAGACGTGTAAGTACTCCCCAGAGGATGAGCCCTGTCCCACAAAGCACTTCACACGACAGAAGTTTTTTGCCTATCATAGAAAAGCAAGGTAAACAGGGGTAAGTTACAGCTGGTGTTTCCAATACAGGAAAACAAGCAAATGAGTAAAACCAGTTATTCAGAAAGCTGGCAATATCAAAACATATGCATAACAGAGTACGAGACTCAGTCCTAGTGGTTTCTTACAAAGAGTCAGTAAGTATTATTTCATTTCTGACAAACCAGGGGAAGCATGTAATTACTGTACCATCTTGCTATGGAGAGAAACTGCAGCAATGTATCTCAGATGAGCGGCACCTTCTACTCAAAAACCACTAGGTTTTTCTCTAATTTCTAAGGTTATTGTGCTGAACGTGAACAACTACCATCATAACTAAAATTACTAGTCCTATCTCCCCGCCCCCTAAACGTACAGAAGTATATTACCGAACAAATTACTACTCCTGCTACTAACATATAAAATTCAGCCATTCCTCCTACAGATTGGTAAAACCATTTTATTTCATTTCCTTGATTTCTAAGGAAAAGTTAATCACAGCGCAATAAGGAAGCGAGATAATTACCTGCAGAAAACTGTCTCGGCAGCAAAGAAATTCATTCTTCTTCATGATGGACTCAGATGTCAACACCAATTCATTTTTACTAAGGGCTGGTTCACTTCGGCATGGATATACAGCCTAAAAAGGAAAAAAGTTACTACTTCACATTAAATATATGAACAAAAACCTCATTGCAAAGACAGAGAATATAGACGCATACAATTGATTAACAACATTCTTTAGTTTTGGGTTTGGGTTGTTTTGGTTTTTTCTGTTACTGTATAACACTAGACTATTGTGAAGAGAAGGTCCACATACACTTCTGTGCACTTATGTAAATCTGCAGGTACACACACACTTCTCTAATTCCATCAATTTATTACATTCACACTACAGAAATCTGAACAGTCATTTTGGCAAAAAGCTTACATCTCAGGGCGGGGAAGGGGGGTAAGAACAGTCACCAAACAAATAAACCCCAAAACCAAACCCAAACAATACCATTCTTCAACCATCAGAGTATGCCCAGGGTTATTCCACACCACCCCCGGCCTCTGAGATAAGCAGCAGTTCAACACAAAGAACATGAATGTCTTGATTTAAGAAGGAACTACTTTGTGCAGTAAGTCCAATCTAGTACCCAACTAAGCCAGTAGTAATTTATCTCCTGAGTTGGGTGTTAGGCCCTAGAACTACATCTAAGCACAAAAGAACATTCTATTTTTCACAGCTCTTACAGAGCTTGGTCCTAGTTGCTCTGTTCCAATGTAAAAAAATCTCTACAACTCTTAGCATACACATGCTGAAAGACTGACCAGGACCACCCAAAAAGGCAATTAAAAATATATTTTTCAACTGAAACAATTCTTCCCATAATTTATAACTTCCTCCTACATGCTTAATAGTCTTTTCACACTTCCAACGAAGACGTCAGTAATCCTTACTCTGATATTGTCTAGAACTCGCTTGAATTCCAGCGGCTCATCCTTCCCTTCCATGGCTGCAGGATCCAAGCCGTCTCCTCCATAAATAAACTGTATAATATCACCCGTAGAACTTCTGACTGTCAAATCATACTGTGAGCAAAGATCTTCAAGTGATTTGACCAGCCGCCTCTGAAAGGGAAGGAAAATAAAACAAGTGCAAGGAAAGTCAATGGGATCTTTTTCAAAATAGCTATTGATTTGGATTACAAGAAGTATAGAAACTGGACTCAGGAAATAAACCTGACACAGTGATTGGCAGGCATGAAAACCTATTTTAAGTCATACGTTATCCCAAGGGCTTTACTGTGCATTCTCCCGAAGAGGAAAGCCAACTACAATAAAATTTAAAGCAACAACACAATTCTCCACATTTAGAAATTCCATTATATAGGAAACTTAATGCGAAACTGCAAGAATATATTACAGTCTGAGGCATTTGTGGGTTTTTTTGACAGAATATTCATATTCTTCCAATCAGGTTTACCTCTCAAGGGTACAACGGTTTCCACACATGGAAGCAAAACCAGCCAATTATTTTCACCAACAAAAACCAAAGAGCTCACCCATCAAAGCCAGTAGTTGCTATTTTTCCACCAGTATTAACTACCTCTCTTACATTAATACATCGCAGTGGGAAATCCCCTTACTACCATCTTCCTTCCTCCGCCTCCCTAAAAAAAAAGGGCATGCTATGAAGCATTAGTGGCTAAATACATTTTCCTTCTAAGATGGACTTCATTGTTCCACAGAAGCAAATTAGCTCACTAAAGAATATAAACTGGTATTTTTTTTTCATTGAGGACGAAAAAGGTAAGATGAAATAAACTTTTTTTTTGCATTTTTTTTAAAATTCCAAAGTCCAAGTGCTACAATTTATTCATGTAGGCTGAAAGTTGATGAGGAAAAACATTTTGCAGTTGCTTATTATATTTACTGATATCTGTATATACTTACACACATGCAAACACTATTCTGTTAGTTTGGGACACAGTCTAGTCAGCCACCCACCCTAACTGGAATCGATTTCAGTCTTGTAGAGTGACTTGCAAACCTCTGCATGTGTCCCCAGCCCCAAATTATCTGTTCTACTGCCTGTTACACTTGGAAGAGGCCTATACTTAAACTGCTACTTAAATATTTTCAGTGAAGTCTTCAGACTGCTCATAATAGCAAGAAGTTTGGTTGGAGGGACGTTAGTTTTCACAGCAAATATAGCCAAAGACACTAACACCTTACGGAACTTTAAGTCCAAGCCTATATGGCCAAGGTGCCTGTTCCCTAAAGAGAATAGGTACTGAAAAGGAGCTTTAGTCATATTTCTGTCAGCCACAAAATATTTTTTTTAAATAACCCAAACCAAGGATTTGTGTTTTCTGTTCCTCATTGTTGAAATTATCTGAAAAAGCACTCATAACTCAAATCTATGCTATGGTGTCCAAACAAAAATTCTATCGTTCACATGGGTTTTAGGAACACACTCTACATGGAAAGTAGTCCTCACTAATTCCACAGAACAAGGGCTTTTATCACCCATATTCAAGAGGAAACAGCTTAACAGAAGCACGTTACTGTACCGTTGCCCGAGGTCTGTTTTACAAACCTCACGTCTACTGAAGAATGGAGCAAAGTCACATATTTCACAGTATAAATTACTTTCTGTTAGGTTAAAAACAAACACACGCATAATGTACGTGCTTCTCTCCCCACCCCTCACCTCAATACCCACATAAGAAACATCCTCCTTTTGCAAGACTGATAACAGCCCCGCTCCACTGGCAGTTACCTGCATATATCCAGTTTCGGCTGTTTTTACAGCTGTGTCAACCAGACCTTCGCGACCAGCCATGGTGTGAAAAAAAAATTCAGTGGGAGTCAACCCAGAATAGAAGCTATTAGCCACAAAGCCTTTTGCTGCTGGGAGCTGCAGAGAAGTGTGGGGAAAAAAGGTTAAAATGCAATGTACGTTCCGTATGCATGTTACAGAAAGACGTGTTGTATGTCATCTAAATTCTTTCAGACAGTTAGCCAATACGTACACAAACACAGACCAATCATCTCAGTTGCATTTAGCTTTGAAGTTCAATGTTTGTATTTCAGATCTGAATAAAGGCTTCAAAACCTTGGCCTAGCTCTTCCAAACTCATCCAATAGACTTCCTCCTTCTCCAAGCTTTGTCATGCTTCTAGCCATCCCTTGCAAACACTACAGCAACTTCTACCACTTCAACCTCCCTTAAAATTGCAAAAATTCAAAAAGCAATAAGAACACTCACTTTGTAATAGTACAGCAAAGGTATCTGCAGTGCTGAAGAGTAAGGAATCCCGAAAAAAATATGGCTGGAGGTATGTACATAACTAATTCTTTCAAATGGTCTGCTCTCACCTCTGAGAAGAGTTCTTGCCAATGAACTTAATACAGGCATCCCTTTATGTCAAATAACACCAAACTGCCTCCATGATCACACAGAACCATGTACAGGCTACAAAGAGGTTCATCTTACAAGACCACTTTTTGTTGTTATTTAACAGGTAGTGCCTTCTAAATCAGTAAAAAAGCTAGAGTAAAAATTTAACTTTTACCTTCTCCTCTAATGCATCAAGTATTTTTTCTTCTTTAATTTATTCAGAAAATAAAAGATTTTCTCAGAAGGTGAAATTTGGGCACTTTGTGACAAATGCAAGTGTCACGGCTACCATCTGACACTTGAGTTATCTGCCTAACACACTAACACGACTGATGACTGGTATCTAGAACCTTCTCTACTGATCATTAGACTTCAGATAGCCATTTAAAAAAACTAAAGAATCCCTCACTGAATTGTATTAACAAGTGCATGAGACTCCTTATTGCTTCATGTAGAACAGAACTCAAACACGGAACGTTCGGAACAGCCCATGATATCTATCCTAGTAGAAAAAGAAGAACAAAAAAAATCGGCTCCAGAATGGTTTACCTGCCATGTTTCACCTGCCTCAAGACACCAACACACACCCAGCAGCTGTCTTGAAAAGTCTTAGTAACACGAGAGAGAAACTTCAACAAATTATTTTTAGGACTCTCAAGAAAACCAAAAATGTATTGTCACAGACTTACTGTAATTTTACTAAATCAGAAAGGTCTAAGCAAGGCTGAGCAGTAAAAATTCAAGCTAACTAGTCACCCTATAGCAATTCACAACACTACTATTAACTCCCAAATGACATTCAAAACATTTTACATTCACGATATGGGATCTTCTTCCTTCACCCTGTCATGACGACACATCCTATCACAGATCCTTCTTAAAATGGTTTAAGGCAACTTGTTTCACTTTTCTTTACAGCGTAGTACAGTACTGTCAACCCACAGAATTACCTTAGAATGCTTCTCAAAGTGAGGCAAGGATCTGTTCTCAAATCCGTCAGGAACTCGGGAGCCGCTGATAGCCTGCTGACCTACACAAGCAATCATCTGGGATATATTAATGAAGGAGCCTGAAAAGAAAGAAAATAAAAATAAATCTCACTCACAAATGAGCAATATCATTGCTCCTCTGATGAGCTATCTCCACTTCTATGAAGATCTATTATTTAGCTTCATAATTCGTCAGAAATGCACTTCACAGTTGTAACAGTTCAAGCAGCTTTTCTGTTACTTGTCTTGACCATTTCAGCATTTATGCAGAGACTGACAACTCCTTTTAAGATTTCTTTGGGTCACAGACATTCATGCCACCACTACCTGACTACAGTCTTCATACTACCCTGTTTTGCATTATGGATTGTGTTTTATACAACCCATGATCCTAACCTACATATTTTGATTCACATTTTCTTCAATAAACATATCTTAACAATATTTTTCATGCAGGGTTCCATGCCTACCAAGATTCCTAGAACAAATTAAGGCCCAGAAAATTAAGTCACTAACTCAGAAGTTCTGTTTGCTGAAGGCATTTGCAAACAATGCCCTCCCCCCCCTCATTATACAGTTCGCATATCCTCCCTCTTAGATTTCAGAATTTCTTTAGAAATACCAAATGTCACCCTGAGGCTTTCCACAATTTACTGGAGACAGATAAATAAAGGCACAGGGTTAAGTGATCTCTTCAAATTCTCACAGGAAACAAAGGAAAGCTCAGGTAAGAAACTCAGTATAAAACAAATATTTACTACACAGGTGATCCTTCAGAAACAAAGAAGTTGGCTGAAATATTAGTTCCAATTCTTAGTATATAATTTCCAGTTGATTTTTGTATGCGATATGGATACTTGAAGTCAGAAATGCAACTGAAAATTTTACTGATGAATTAATTCAAGTCTTAAGAACACCTAAAGTTCCAATCTACATACGAATTTAATACTTGCACAACTGACCGTATAAAACAAGCTATAAATACAGAACAAGTAATTCTGAGGACAGTAATGGAGTGAGCAATCTACTTCCAAAGTTCAGCTATCCCTACCTTTAGAACCACAGAGCGCCATGATCAGGGGACTGTTGCTCTTGTCCAGTTCTCTGAGACAGGCACTGCCAGCGTGATCTCTGATAACAGAGAGCTCTTTCAAGATTAAAGCCTGAAATCCAAGATTTCGGAGATTCAGCATTTGTTAAAAATACAATGCTCTACCACTCGCGAGCAATACCTTCAGCAGTCAAAGGGAATTCAAAATACAATAAAGAGAAAGAAACCTAGACATTGCTTTGGGTAAAACAAGTTTAACTTTTAACTTGCATTAACTTTCCAATTTGCTGCACAAAAGGTCTTTGTGGGGGTAAGATCGGGGTAGCCAGGGACACGACACCTTTTGTCAGCAGCACCAACTTAGGCTAAACTGAGCACTGAACTAAGCTCTTAAGTCTCGCTGCGGTATGTGAAAGATTACACAAAAAAAAAAAAAGTATTTTTGGACAGCTTTCAGGGAGTACAATGCTTGTTAAGAACATGACAATCGTATCAAAAAAAACATTTTAGGGTATATATCGGTGTCTGACGAGCAAGAGTGGAAAAGACTGCAAGCCACTTCTTTCAGCCAGAGTGCCGCTTCAAACCGGACAACTGTGGCAGTGCTTCATCGCAGGGTGGGGTTTTCTGGCTGTTTGCTGTTGGTGCTGGCTTTGTTTTGTCTTTCTTTTTTCTTTAAAGGTAAAAACTAGACATTGACTAGCGAAGAAGACGAATGTATAAAACCATTAAAGACAACAAAAAGAGTGTTCCTCAGCTGACTTCATTAAGTCCTTGTCTGTAAGTTTTTGGGCAACAGTCATTGCTCTTCATCAAAATTTCTACAGAAAAAAGAAAAAAACCCAGCATAACCACTAGTCCACTGAACTTTTGCCCCACTAAGGGGCAAGAAAACACTTGCATATAAACAGATCTATAACTAAAGGAATGTCTTGCTTCTCGGATTAGGTTCTTTACTTTTACTGTTCTTTGTTAAGTTAGCAAATATTGATAGATGTAATTAACCCCATTCCAATTACCTATGTGATTTTATTCTCTTGTATGTCACCCCAAAACATCCAGCCAGGAGGGAGAGAGGATCTCAGTTGCTTAGTATTTAGCTAACATTTTTAGATGCATACAAGCACCTAAATGTTAAGCTCAAGTAGACCCAGCTAAAGTTGCGCACCTAGGGACCCTATCCGTTCACATTTTTAAGTTCTAGAGGACAACTTTGAACTTCACAACTTACATGAACATATTAATGAAGTCTCTACTCTAAATATATAGTGATTTAAATTAAAAACTTTACCTCTAGTGTCTCTTCTGCAGTACAACCAGGCTGCTGCTGTAGCTTGCCAGTGTTCAGAGCTTCAATATACTCATCACATTTCTTATAGCCAGCATTCAGGAGCTCATACTTAGCTTTTAGGAGGCCCTGCCCAGGGGTTACATCACCAATTCCAATTGAAAAGCCACGAAAAAAAAAAAAAAAAAAAAGGAAGAAAATTATACTGATCGCTTCATCTCATATAGGGAAAACAAACTAAAACCAGGAAATGTTATCATTGGGAGCTTTATTTTTTCCTCCCACCATGTGACCTTCATAAGCACAATCAGTTGTTCCACCATTTCTGTCAGCTTCACAACTAACTTATTTTTTTAAAACCTGGTACATCATATTTAAAGCAAAAATCTTGCCCGATTGCTCTGTATTTCTGCTTTAAGATACTACTTCACAAAGAAACGTACTTACAGAGGTAGACAGGAGCAAGTCTGGCTAGTCGTGACATGGCATCCGCAGCTTCTACCTGTCCCCAGTCTCTCAGCAAGATGTAGAAGATGTTGTTCTTGGAGCCTGAACCTAAGGTTCCTTTGTCCATACTGCCACTCATTAACTCGCTGTTTTGAATTGTGACATCTAGGAATAAAATGGCAAAAAGAATTCATCAGTTCTCTAAAACAGCACCTCAACCCCAGCAATCAGTTATGGAGTAGGTTTTTAAGTAAAAGCTCTGTTCTTGAAAAGAACAAAACCTGAAGACATACATTTAATGTATCTGTAGAAGTGCATGAGTAAGTATGCAAGGGGAACAGCTCACAACCTGACCCTACCAATCTGAGTTAACATTTATTTCCCTCCCTCCTTAGAAAGGCAATTGTACTCAATTTAAGACTTGTAAGAAACATTGTGATTCATCCTTTTTGTTAAAAATCTTAAATTAAACTTCACTTCATTAATCAGAATACAGTCTTCAAACAATCTTATTTGTCCAGAAATACAGTCCTCGATCATGCATCCTAAACCAATGTTCTTTACTTATTTATAAAGACTCTGATACTGAGTTCAACTCAATCACCTCTGGAAGCACAACTTAAAATTAAACGACACACTGGACTCTTTAATTACAAGCATATCATAACAACATCCCTCTTGCCTGTAGGCCTGTACACACAGCCTCTTTTAGATTACTTCCTTTTGCTTCACCTGGAACCTTCCATTTCAGGCACTGCATCTTCCTTACAAGCTTTAGCCTTTAACCAATTAAAAAGTATCTTCTGTACATGAACTTTAGACATATTTTCTATGATAGCCGTACAACAGATGTTCATCCTCAACTTCACTACGCATCTTTCAAAGAAGAACAGGCACATGTAGATGGATCCAATTTAAATCATTTCATGCAGAACGCTGTAGATGTTTGCACACTGTACTTTATGCTCAGTATTTTCAATGTGAATTTAGGTAATCGTCTTCCTGAACCAGAAGTCACTGCTCTATCACTTATGATATACAATCAAAATATATAGTAGGGTTTCCTGAGACTGAGTAATTTGCTGAGGACTTTCTGAAGAGAATTAGCGTAGCTTCAGAAAAGTTTTTTCAGAGAACTGAACAGAGCCACCAATGAAATCAAAAAGTCTTCCACATCACCTGCTACTGTTGAACTCTGAAAATGGAAATACTTCCTATATTTCCTAAAATGAAAAGACTGCGGAGCAAAGATGGCCTATGTTCACGCAAGTATGAACAGGATTGCTTTCTTGCCTTTCACTGCACGTTTCTTAGAGGCTGAAAAAAACTGCGCCACCATGTTTACAGCCAACTTCACCACCACTGAGGGGTCCTGTCTTCTAAAGAAATCACTCAGAGCGTGGACTTGAGTCCTAATTGGTAAATTGTCTCTCACATCAACATTGCATGACAGAATTACTGTAAATCAATGGTTCCTCCCTAGGCTCCTTAACTCATGCTTCTGAGCAATAAGGAACCAAACCAAGGACCTGCTCAAGGTCCTTTCCAGCTGTTACCACACAAATGTTAAATTAGTAAAAAAAAACTTGCTCATCTCCTACAGCCTCTTCAACCCTGATGCTCTGCATTCCATCTGCCACCCTGACTTCCCTAACTGACAGGATACAGATGGTTTGATATCCTAGGGATTCCCATCTTCCCTAGATATCCTAACTCCTTTCACTGTTTAACATCTAATCCCTGTATCACTACTCCCACTTAAGACACTAAATTTTTCCACTTGCCTTCTATACAACCACTTCCTAAGCTTCTTTGCTTTTATTTCTCACCTTCAAATACTGTGTTAGCATCACACAAAATAAATTTTATTACAAGAAAACACCCAAGTCTCTTCTTCCGTGTTCAGCATGACTTCCAACTTTTGAGAAAAACTGCATAGTTTTATTTTTAATTTCAAGAATACTTATGTGATGTACTGCTTTAACTCCTACAGGGAGCTCAACAGCAACAAACTCAAGAAAACAATCTCTACAATTTCTCTGAAGACTTCCAAAATACAGCTTTAGAAGTGTCACTCACAAGAATCATTGTAACACAGGTCTTCCCCTTTGCCACAATACTGTTTGCCCTTGGTTCGCAGATTGGCTTTTACAGGACAATCATCACTGGGTTTGAGAATCAGGCTGAAAACCTGTTTGCCTGTCCAGAGTGCTACAGGCTTAGAGAAACAAAAGGACAAGAATTAGGATTACAGAGTTTACGCTACAACTACAGTAAAACAGCAAGCAAGAATTTAACTGTAAAATCTTTTTCTATACAGAACTATAATTGTAGGATAGCAGCATTCCTTCGAATATGGAAGTGTTATGCACTTCTATAGATATAAAAACACCGACTGCTGAATGGTTAACCGTTACATAAGGGCGTGTGCATGCATTGACAGAAACGAGCTCTATTGCTCCCTCTTACTGTCATGTTTCCCTTTCTGATTAGAAAAGGAAAAAACAGATGCTGCTGCCATTTCAGTTCTCAAAGAGGTTGCAACATTCATAATTCCTTCTTTATATAGTGCCTTTGATCTCAATTTTTAGGAGGTTAAAGATTCATATAATTACGTACTCCCCTCAGCTGTAGCTAAATGTAACTGTCAGTCACAGCTGGCGCTAAAATTATTCATCTGGAGAAACAGCAGCAAAGAATCACTGCTCTTGGCTATTACCAAAAGTTCATATAAATTTATAAAATTCACATTAGATGCTGTCCATAAATGCTCTCATCTTGCTTTAAATTAGTATTATTCACAGGTATTTCAATTTCACTTTCTGAATTTCCCTGATACTACACTTACTATTTTGAAATTAAATAAAGGGTATAAAAAAAAAAAGTATCACCAGTACTTAGTAACTATTTAACAGATCTGCAAGTGTACCGGTCTCTCCAAACAATACTGTTTGTTATTGTTCAGTGTACACGAATGAAGGCTTAACAGACACTATAGCTCTCTTCAAAGTTTGTGATAAATAGACAAATACTCTGACCTTCATAATAAATATTTTGTGTACGTGATGTAACAAACAAAAAACCCAACCAAACCAAACAAACAAAATCACAGAGCACTCATCCTCTTTAACACCTTGCCACGTTACCAACTAAAGCATATTCGTTCCCAGGTTTAATATCTCCTAAATTTGGGATACTGAAACCTACGACTGTTGAGCATTCCAGGACATTACTTGAGGTCACCCAAGGAATAACACAGCTCTTCCACTTGGCCCCACATTAGTCTGCATAGCTAGTAACAGTGAGGTTACTAAGAACGATGCACCTTCTACTGACCACTAACAACTGTCTCACAGTAGGAGGATAGTAGCAAAGCTACATCTGAACCCTGAAGGAACCAACCCTGCATCTGGACTGCAACCACGCAAGGTTGGCTCTGTTCAGCATCAGGAACCATAAAACAACTTCTCCATAGTTTTGACCCTGAAATCTGATCCTTGCACTCTACAAATACAAAATCTCACACAAAACTCATGTCAAAGAAAAACTGTCTCTGCTGAGAGCAGCACCACACAACAGAGAAAGTCTTAGTAACATTAAAAAAGTAGTTTGACACACCTTCAGAATTGCTGGAGGTGGAAGACGAACTTTAATCTTTTCATCTTTGCCAACCAGGATAGAAGCAATAATTTGACAGGCTTTGGCTCGATCAAAAAAGGTATCTTTTAAGGTAAGAAGATAGGCACCTAGAATGTAAAATATTATTAATGTGACAGACAGATTAAATTTAAAAGCTACTGCATATTCAGTATCAATGATTTCGCTCTAATACTAGTTACCTACTTACTATGCAAAATGACAATAGTTTAGACAGCTTCAGTGCTAAATCCCTTCCAGAAGTTTTTTTTAATTGCTCCACACTCAAACTTCTAAAAATCAGAACCTGTGCATTTCTATAACCTATTCTCTCTCTCACACTATTCCACAGGTAAAAATAAGGCCTTGGCATTAATTTTTGAGCACTTTCTTCCTTATATTCATTAGACATTTCCCAAAGAATTAAAGAAACTTGAAGGTACTTATTGTAGGTCAAATATTTGACTAGTGAATTCAACTCCTCTACCACAACCACGAGCAGTTTACCTTGTCTGCCTAACACAAAGACCCCAATTTCAGAGAAACACTTGCAAAACACAGGCACAGGTAACAGTAACTGCAGCTACAAAGGTAAACAATATCAGAGGAGATTCTGAGGACATCACTGTATATCACACTAACAATAGCCTTAACTTTCATAATGTTCCTTTGACTCTTGAAAGAAGAAATTTTTTAATTAATATAGGGACATCCTAGAAGAGGGAAGTGACTTTTAAGGAACAATTGTTAAATCATGCAGCTCTAAAATAAGCTTTATCTACACACCTGTGAGGAAATCTTGAATAGCAGCGATAAGAGGTTCTCCATTTCTTGGTGTTACCAAGTTCGCTTTAGTCTGTATGATACCAGAAACAAACAAACAAAAAAATCACGCATTTGAAGACACTGATATTCCATTTGTTATCCCGAAGGAAACTTACCATTTCAGACAGTTGTTTTAGCAAAAATGGGAACAGCTTATTCTAAATCAAAGTACAGCTTTCTTCAAAAAGACAGAAAAAATAAACTAGAAGTTTCAGTTCACTACAGTCCATGCAAATCTACTGACAGTTAAGCAATAATTTGAGAATAGTTACTAGAAATCACATATTCTGTTTCCAAAGCAGAAGTTGCAATCAACTTCATGTGTTCGGCAGGTTACTGTTCAAAAGGGACAGGGGAGGGAAGACAAGCAAGCTTTGAGAACCTGAGAAGGAACAAAAGAGGTTACGCTCGCTACAGGGGGCTACTGAAATACTGCAAGTTGTGTGGTCCCTACTGATATATAACAATCAAACTAGCCACTTCCACTAGCCCCATTTTCTTATGCCTTACTCTGACTACTGCTCCAGTTATGTAACCCCACCTACGCAGCAGTTTTTCCTGAACTGTTCATAGGCCCACATAAACCTGAATCACACACTTGGGGAGGGTGGCAGGGTCTTTTTAAGCTTGCAAATCAGTTCAGCAACCCAACACATGCTGCAGCCAACAGCTGTATTGGTACATCTGACACAGCAGTGGCATTCAGTCACCCTAAAAAAGCAACGTGCTGGAAAATCCTCAGGTTCATTGCTACTGGCTGTACTTTCACACCAGATCAGTGCCTGCAACCATCACATCCCTCTATCTACCCTCCCTTCATTTTTCTCCTCCCTTAAGAACCTACCGGCTCCTGCTTTCTCTGGTAAACTGCCTTCTCCATTACAAGCATGCTACTGCAGTCTCACTTCCAGTTGGGCTAACTGCTGCTGGGGTGTCAGACCAGAAAGCAAAGTATGTCTCTGTCTGGTAAAAGAGCCGCCCTATTTCGGCAGCATTCACTAAGGACAGTCAGGCAGAAACATACCAATCACGTGTACTTACTTAAAAGTACTGAATATTCCACAGACGCTAAACATAAGTGTATTACACCACCACTGTGTAACAGCCCTAATTTATTCTAAATTCCCTTCTGCAGAGTTTTCAGGCAGCTTCCTAGCCACATGTTATCCATACCCAGGAATCCTGGTAGTATTTCAGACTTCACACACAAGTTAAGAAATACAGGGATCAGCCCATCTGTCACTAGCAAAATCCCAACCCCAACGTTATCTACATACCCCCATTAAAACAAGCGCTTCTGCTTTTGCTTCTTCTGTCTGAGGAAGGTGAAGGTTCATCTCATCTCCATCAAAGTCTGCGTTGTATGGTGTACAGACACATTCATTAAATCTGAATGTCCTGTGAGGTTTTACTCTAGCCTGAAAAAAAAAAAGTGATGCACATGCAGTCAAGCATGCTAAAAGGTGAAACGCCATGCCCGAGTGCTTCCTTGTAGGCTTTATCATTTCTTTTTATTACAGATGTGACTCAAAATTTCTGATTATAGGATTTAACTCAACCAGGAACTGATGGAAATTGTACTCAGGTTATAAGATACAAATGTAGCTAGTAACTTCCATTATCAAGAATTTATACAAAGCACAGAAAACAGCTTTGTAGAGATCACATCAACTCTACAAAAATGAAATGCTTACGCAAGAACAGATACCGAGGTCAGTTACGGCTAAGAACAGAACTGTCCAGACGGCATACTGCCCAGCTACACATCCATGCCCACGCAAAATCACAACTGCACTGTACCCATGCTCATCCCCCACGCGGTGTTTCAGAAGCTGTTTATTTTTGTGTGTGCAAGAGACAAACACCAGCAAAGGTAAACCACCAAATATTCAGGGATGCACGACCTGTACGCTGGGCTGTGTGGGCACTTACAATGTGAGCCATGATGCTCAGCTTATGAAGAGAGGGCTGTCGATTGAACAGAACTATGTCACCATCTATAAGATGTCGCTCCACGGTATCACCAAACTTCAGCTCCTGGGCCATCTTTTCTCGGTTTCCATATTTCAAAAACCTTACAGTAACACATAACAAAGGAGTCACAACAAATACAGCCAGAAAGATGTAAAGACAAGTGAAAATTAGTTCTGTATTTATAATGCAAATTCTTCCATTAAATGTTGGAGTATTTGTATCACAGTAACTAGAAGACAAAACTGGTGTGGATTGCATCATTAAGCATCAGCCCTGCTGCTATTTTAAATAATAATCTATTTGTGACGTTAGTTAACAAAGCTATAGTTATTAGGAAAACAAGAACAAATCTATTTATAAAAACAAAGAATTTACTTCAATTGTATCAGGGTGTTTAGAGAATTTCACTCATATACTATCAATTCTTACTACCCATAAACTGACTGCAGATTAGTGCTCTCATGAGAACAGCCAGTACAACATGCCCCAAACTGCTTGTTTTCATTTCTCTATACTACATCCTCTACCGAAACAAGAGTGAGTCATTAAAAAAAAAAAAAAAATCTAATTGCAGTTCACTACCATTGCTACGTAACAGATTATCTAAAAAGAAATCATACACTAAACCTGAGTGGATAATGACAATTTTTTTGTTACTGTCCTTTATGAATGGGGTGGTTTGACTGCAATTGAGTTAATTTTCTTGATGCAGTTAGAAACTTTTCTTTCTCATAGCCAGCATGGTCATTGTTTGGGTTTAGCTCAAGCTGGAATGTAAGAGCTTACTGATATCTCAGCCATTACCAAGCTCTTCCCAGGCTTCCTACTTGCCAGCTGTGTGGCAGCTAGGAAGGGGGCACAGAAGGACAGACCTTCACTGACATCCAGGCTGATCAACCAGAGCATTCCACACCATCAATGCCATGCTTTGTATACAACTGGAGTCGGCTTTTCTGCTTCATTACAACAGTCCTTTTGGTCAGAACAGTCCTCTTTGGTAGAGCCGTTCTGGGCAGAACCATTCTGGTTCAGTTCTGTTTGGTTAGTTCGGCCTTTTGCCGTTCTGCAGTCGGCCTTTGGGCCTTCCTCCCTCTCTTGCCTCTTCACTCTCTCCGTGGGATCAGCTGTCCTGGACCAGGGTGCTCTCTTCTCGGGACTGGCTGCTCAACGCAGGCAGAGTTCATGAGGAATTGCATTTTATTTTATATATTACTATTAGTGTATCAGTATGATTTTGTGTATTATAGTGTATTAGCATTATTACTCTATTAAACTGTTTTTACCTCAACCCATGAGTTCTCCCTTTTGTCCATTTCTCCTCTGCATCCCGCTGAGGGGAAAGGATAGGGATGAGTGAGAGGCTGTCTAGAATTTAGTTGCTAGCTGGGGTTAAACAATGAAAGATTCTAAAAATAAATCTTAATCTCTGTAGGTATAACTGTTGTCACACAGCGGTAAGAACAAGCTGATGGGGAGACACAAAAAGTGAACCATTACAGATAAGCACGATACCTTTTCATCTGTGTGTGCCTTTGCTGTATGAAGTTGGCTCCGGGATGAAGATCAGGGCCATTACGGACAAGTTTCCTCATGAAATTAATATTTGCTTTGTTCACCTGTTGCATAAAGACTTCAATCAGAAACAAATGAAACACGTTTCAGGACCTCTTTTTTGCCGGTGGCTTTTGCATTTTCAAATTTTAGGCTCAACTCACAATCCCCTTCACAGCCTCCAGCTGCTGAAGGGAACAGGCAGGAGGGAACAGAGAAGGAGAATGTAAGCTAATTTTAGAGCAGAACATCAGAGTGAAATTAAATTAAAAATCTGGGAAGTAAATTCAGAAACAAAGATACCCAACCCCTCCTCAAATAGATACACCAACAAACACATGAAGCTATGTATGAGTTCAAAAAACATCAAGCAAAAATCTTCTCTCTTGATACGTCACTCCCTACACCATGTTCCTTCAGAGTACTTGCATGTATCTGATAGTACAACCTGCATTTTCCAACAGCAACAGAAGTGTCAAAGTGTCACTAAGCGACATTTCAAACATAAAAGCAATACACTGACTCCCTTTTATAGTAAGGCTATAAAGAAGAACAACACTGATGTCTAATTAAAAGGAAAAAAAAAAGCAAAAAAGCGCACAGAAACGGTTTTGGTTCTACACTACTTACCTTCTCGGGAAAAGTTAGTATTTTAGCAACATGAATAGGCACTGCTACTTCATCTATTCTTAAGTTGGGATCAGGTGAAATGACTGTTCTGCCAGAGAAATCCACTCGCTTTCCAGACAGATTGCCTCTAAACCGACCTAAAATAAATAAGCAAGTGAACATTCTTCTGTATAAAAGTTATTTTCAAAATGTTATCTATTACAACAGCACATTAGAAAATATCTCAAGGCACGTCACCGAAGCACAACACAATAGAGGCAGAGAGATGCACTGGAATAGCAAATATTTGTGGCTTCATTAAAAAAAAATTAATAAAAACAACTTTCTAGACAAACCTTGCTTTCCCTTCAGTCTCTGAACAAAACCTCTGGTCCACTTTTTAGGTGCCATGTTGAGAGGAATTCCCGAGAGCTCACTGTTAATGTACAGGGCACACTGCAGCTGAAGAAAGTCCCAGTCCTCCATAATCATCTGTGTTTTGGCTCCTGATATCCTATGCTAAACATAATAGTCACCCAGTTCAGAAATAAGTGTAACAACACATATTAAACTAGCAATTAATTTTTCTGATGCAAGTACAACTCCTCTTTCAAAAATAACGTTAAAATTTCTTCATTTATTGGAACGAGAAAGGTGAGATAACTCTGTAACAGGATGTTATATTGCTATAGCATCAGGCTATTCACCAGAGAACCCAGCAAAACCTTCTTTTGACCAGCACTCACTTTGGACACATGCTCACAAAACCACGTATTTGTTTAAATTCTATTTTTCCCAGGTCACTGAAGTTAAGCTCATATAACCTCACAGCCAGGAAAATCACCAGCAGTTCGTAATTTTTCAATCACAGGAGAGTTAGTGCTCACTTGATTTTGTTTTCCTGACAAAAGACCAGTTTTGAAAAGCTGAAAAGTATTAGTCTGGTAAAAGTGTTCTTCTAAACAAATGACACATTGTCAAATTTACTTCTAGTCTCAGTTTGATAACCATGCTAGCCGAAACCTGATATCTTCAGAACAGACAGTGAAATAAAGAAAGGAAAAGATGTAGTAAAAAAAAAAAAAAAAAAGGAGGTCTACAT